CTGGGCTTCCCTGAGTTTAGAGTAACTGCTGCCCAAACTGATGATTAAAACACTGAGTAATCACCATTTACCCCGAGTAATTAGAGATAATGAAACACCTCTAAAATCAGGTTATGGAGAAGAGCGCTGTGGGATTGGTTTAAAGGGTGGCCTTCCGTAAACTGTTAAAGGATTCCCAAACGTTGAGAAACAGGCTGTGAACAGGGCTGTGTGCCCGAAGGAGCTACCTCTTCAGCTATTAGGTAGTGACTTTCCTCCCAAAACGTTTCTTAAGGTGCTTCCCGCGGAGACCCTTGGTGCAGACACTCAGAAACACAGCCCCCTTAAACTGGGTCGCTACCATCAGCTTCCCATGCCTAACCTTTCAGAGGACAGAGGTGACTTGCAGGCCTTTGGCAGACACAACAGGTCTAGGCCATGTTTGACAATTAAAAGTGTGCTTATAACTCCTGAAGCCCTCTTAACTGCCGCACAATTATTTTTGTTTATTTGATTGTTTGGGGCCTTCCAGGAAGGTATCACGCAGAAGCAGTTGCCTTTTAGGCTTCAGTAGACACAATAGAAGAGTGTCCTTTGGTCTGTTCTTAAAAGAAGGGGGATGAGGAATTGATTCTCTCATAATAATAACAAGTGTTGGTTGTCATATTAGCGCGGAGGTGGAATGTGGCGGCTCTCAGACCTTCCCAAACAGGAGCTAACTTCACACTCTGGCTCTGGTGGAGCTGTGAGGGAGCTATCAGCTTCATCTCTGTTTTACAAACAATGTTGGGGAAGGGCTGCCAGGTTCAGAGAACTTGCCCCAAGGTCTGGAGGAAAGCACAGCCTCTGCTCTGCAGTTTTCAGCTAAGGCTACAGGGTAGGGGTGAGGCCAGCAGCCCTGAGCTCCAGGTAGCTCCTAAAGTGCTGGCTGGAAGATGGCAATTTCCGGTTCTTGGTTTCCATTCTCTGAGGTGGGTGTTATATTCTTTTGTCACCCAAGATCTTGACCTGGTTCAGCTCATTTGACCTTTGCACTTACACACCTTCAGAATTTAGAAATCAGGAACCAGTTCCTGTATTCTGTGGACCAGAGACAAAGGGTGGGAAGGAATGTCAGGTCTCAGGAACAACTGTTAGAGAGTAACACCACACCCTGGCCCTCCCTGGCCTAGGGCAAACCGTATGCCCCTGGCCAAGTCCTTTCATTCCAGTAGGTACCAACTTTCTCATCCAAAGAACAAAAGGATCAAGTCAGATAATCTCCATGATCGCTTTCTATAGGAGACAATATCATTATTTATTGTAATTCTAGTGACCATCCACCTGCTTTCATTTGAAATCATTTCTAAGTATAGCTCCTCTTATATCTCTGATTACTCAAGGTAGGGCAATAGCACCAGTCAGAAAAGACTGAAAGCAAACCTACAGCTTCTAGCACAGCCGAAATTACAATTAATTATTTAAAATAACAACACAAAATTAAAACTCCATTACATAGTTACTAATGTCTCTCCTGGGGCATCAGGCTATGGGCTTCCATAGCAGGTTGAAGGACATATTCATTGCTCACTGAGGCACCTACATCAATTACCTGTTGCTTCAATGGTTAACACAATGTATTCCTTAATATTTAAACTCACAAACAGCAGTGGTCCACTGAACTCAGGGGCAAGGCTTTAGCTTTAATGAATTTTGTAGGGTTTGTTTTTTCCCCCCCAAATATTGTTTGAATGACAGCTATTATCTCATTTTGTTGAAACCCAAGCAATAAAGTGAGTATGGCCCACCCACAAGTCTGTGAAACCCAGTCTGGGAGTTTCTAATTAAACCGCTGCACAAACCTTATGGGATCGCTAGGCATGTGATGGGGAAACTCAGCTATAGTCTCCCCCACACATCCATCCAGTAAACTCCCCATTAGCTGCCAGGTATGGTGGTCCATGCCTTAAGTCCCAGAACTCGGGAGGCAGTGGCAGGTAGATCTCTGGGAGTTCAAGGTCAGCCTGGTCTACCTAGTGAGTTCCAGAATAGGCAGAGCTACACAGAGAAATCCTAGCTCAAAACAAAGACACAAACAACCTCAGCATCTTCGATGACCCAGTCCTCCTTGTCTCCCCCACACACACCCAGTTTTGCAAGCAACAAATGACTTTTGTTTGGGGGTTTTGTTTGTTTGTAGTTTTGTTTTGTTTTGTTTTGTTTTTGTTGAAGCATGATCTATACTAAATTAATGATCTCCTCTGACCTCAGTTAGAATTGCAAGAATATACCATCATGCCTGGCCAATAAATATTCCTGTTTTAAAGGTTATTTTAGTTATAATTTCAAAGCTAATAAGAACTATTAAAAATAGATACAAAGACTGTCTTAAATAAAGGATATTTTTGGTTGAAGCTTTATAAGCAATTAGAGTTTGTCGAGGACACCAAATAGATATATATCGTAAAGAGATTTCTTTTTTGTTGCTTGTTTGCTTTTTGAGACAGGGTTTCTCTGATAGCTCTGCTTCTCCTGGAACTTGATCTGTAGGCCAGGCTGGCCTCAAATTTATAGAGATCTGCCTGCCTCTGCCTCCCAAGTGCTGGGATTAAAGGAATATACCACCATGCCCAGCTCAATAAAAAGATTTCTAATTCTACAAACACATTACTTTGTTTTTAGCTCCCAAATTAAGAATGGCATGGGTCTTCAAACCTTATAGTTTGATGTCTTTTGAAACTATAAGGGAATACTATGAAGGATCCCCAGTACCATTGCTAACTTTTGTGAGAAGCAATAAAATAGACCAATTCAAAATAAAATTAGAAGACATCTTTGAAATAACCTAGACTGAGGCAGACATGGTGTCGAAAGCCTTTAATCCCAGCACTCAGGAGGCAGAAGCAGGCAGATCTCTGTGAGTTCAAAGCTAACCTGGTCTACACACACACACACACACACATACACACACACACACCCTAGACCATTGGTTTTCTTGAATGAATATTACCATATTTTCTCATTTGTTCTCTAGCCCTCACAAAAGCCCACATTAAATCCTTCTTCTACAGATGAGAATCTGAAACCTATGAGATTGTGTAAATTCTCCAAAGTCACAGAGCTTGTAGGTGATGGACTCCAAATCCAGACCAGGTCAATCAGCTCCTTCCTTCATAAGCCTTGAACAGGACCTGCAGGAATGTGGATGCCTGTGGTCACAGCTCCAGTTAAACAAGACTTGTCCCAGCAGGTGCATCCAACCTGCAGCCTGTGGGCCGTACACATCCAGGGTGACTGTGAATGCAGCCAAACAAGCAAAAAAAAAAAAAAAATCATAAAGTTGCCTAAAACATTATGGGATTTTCTTCCTTTGATTGAGTGAATCTCAAACAAGAACACTGCAGGTGACAACATTATGACACAGTATCAAAAGATGGACAGGTCAGGGCTTTCCCAGGCCATGGCATCAGTTGCTGCTCTGTCCTCATAACCGCTGGTGACAATGGGACCTGCAGGGTCCCCCTGGCTCCACTGTCCCAGTGCTGGGATTGTAGGCACAAGCCACCCCACCTGTTTCACGAGTTCTTAGAGACTGAGAAATCTGGGCTCTTCTCCCCATCTTAGGACAAGGTTTCCCTAGAGCCTTCCCTGAAAACAGGCTGTGGTCTTGAGAAGGAACTCGGCTTCATCATAAAAACTAGCAAAGTAGAGCATAAAGAGACACTTCGGTATAGAGATTTATTTAAAGCTTCTAAAATGCATTGAGATTTACTAAAGGATATATGCATGTGTGCAAATATCACCCTGGAACCCATAAGTTTATACAACTAATATGACAACAATTGTGATTATAGAGAAGCCCTTGAGGGAAGGGATCGTATCACACATGCTTTGTTCTTTCTGATACTGCAGATAAAAGCTGTTGTTTGCCTGAATAGCATTCACTAAGTTACTACTCATTGTGGTATGTCTGTGTAGATGTGTTCCATGAGTGTATCTCTCTGCCAAGATAATTCATAACTGTAAATCAAAATAGGTACCTCTGATTTTTTTTTCAGATTTTTAAGACCTCTCGATTAAGAAATGTCTCCCCTCGGGGGCTGGAGAGATGGCTCAGAGGTTAAGAACACTGACTGCTCTTCCAGAGGCTCTGAGTTCAGTTCCCAGCAACCACATGGTGGCTCACAACCATCTGTAATGATATCTGGTGCCCTCATCTGATGTGTCAGCATAGATGCAGACAGAACACTGCATACATAATAAATAAATAAATAAATAAATCTTTAAAAAAAGAAATGTCTCCCCTCTCTTTTAAAATAAGGTTTTCTCCCCCTGTTTCATGGTCTGAAAAGCATACGTTTAAGTGCTGGGAATTAAATCCAGGGTCTTACACATGCTAGGTGAGTGCTACACCACTAAACTCCATCCCTGGTCCCAAGAAGAATTTAAATTCAGCTGTACATGGGTTTTCTTCTTCTCAGCATTTAAGATCATTATCAACCCTTGATTTACTTCAGTCAAATTAAATAATTAGGGCTGGGCATATAACTCAGGAGACTTGTCTGGCATCTTCTAAGCTCTAGGTTTGCTCCCTACCACCATAAGAAAGAAAAGAAACCCAATAGCATTTCAGTCCTGTGTTTTAAAGTGCTGCTGGAATGTGATTCTTTCTTTAAAAAAAAATCTTTAAAACTAAGCTGGCCTCCAAAAAGCCACAGAGAAACCCTGTCTCGAAAAAACCAAAAAAAAAAAAAAAAAAAAAACTAAGCTGGGTGGTGATGGTGGCACATGTTTTTAATCCCAGCATTTGGGAGGCAGAAGCAGGTGGGTTTCTCTGAGTTCAAGGCCTGAGCTACAAAACAAATTCCAGGACAGCCACAGAAATCCTGTCTCAAAAAAAAACAAAAAAACAAAAACAAAACCAATGCCCTCCAAAATACAAAATAAAAACAGGATAGTGAATTCTAATTTGAGCTCCAGTGATTTCAGACATAAGAAGAGACAATATGCTAACATGTAATGCATACATGTCAGGCAGGACACAAATTTGGGAGCTCTGTATTTTCCAAAAGAGGTCGTTATCACATAGTGAAGGATGATTCTGAGGTTGCTTCTCCTCAGACATGGTCATCTGGACCCCAGCTAATTCTATAGCAGACACACGGCTGAGAAGTAAATTCTTGTCATCAAGTGTATGAAAATGTTTGAAACTCTGGAATGGGTTTGTCCTCAGCCCCACACATCCTTCTCTTTCTCTTTCTCTCCGTGGTGTGCATGAAGAGTGTGACCTGGACAAGAATGCAGTGTCACTAGAGAATAAGTTTTAGAAACCAGACACACCCAGTCCTATGCTGATTCCTGACTATTGAGTGAACTACTGTGGTTTCTCAACTACACATCCACTGGGTCAAACCAACTAACACTCTCCCTTCAACTGATGCTAAAATCTTTCCCAAGGAAAGCTTGGTCTAAAGGGATATGAGATCCAAGAACATTTTTTAACATGTAAATACAACTTGGATATTTTCCTTATAGGGCAAGTCTTTTACTGTGGGGAGAGGGGTGCTTTCCATGGTGTCTGTTCAAGGATAATTGCATATTGCTTTAATTCCTTCCTGACTTCAAAATAACTCAAAAACATTTGTTGATGTTTGTTTTGTGACAGTTTCTGAAAATGAATATCTGAGATATGCAAAATTCTCTTCCCATTTTTCTTTTTACTTAATTAAAATATAAATTTATCATTTTATTCTAGTTTTTCTTGTTTGGTTGGTTGGTTGGTTCATTTAGCTTGGATTGGGTTGGCCTTTTTTTAAGCAAGGTCTTCTGTAGTCCAAGCTGCTGTGGGAGGTTGGCCTCGAACTCCTGACCCTGTTGTCTTCACTTCCAAGTGCTGGGCTAGCAGGCCTGTGTCACTATGCCAGGTTTATGAAGTGCTGGAGACAGAACCCAGAATTTGGCTCAAGTGCGGCAAACACTCTAGTGACTGAATATATCTTCAGCCCTTGCAATGACCTTTTTTTTTTTTTTCAAAAGTATCTTTGGGCATCCTTTGAAACCTGCCAGCAAGGGACAGTATGTATCACAAAATCAGTCATTGGTTGTACCCGGCCCAAGATAGCGGGAGCCTCATCTTTGATCTCCTGGTGGATGTAACATTTGAGAAACCCACATAAGCCACATTCCCAAGACTTCAGGGAGTCTAGTCTGAGGTCTCTCTGTGGGAGAAAGAATGATTGGTTACACCACCCAACACCTGGCTTCCGGGCCCTTCAGCATTTCCTGGTGGATGGTCCATGCCAAGCTGCGAGCCTCATTCTTTTCTCAAATTCTGAAGGACGGGGTGCCAGCTGGGCCAGGAAAGATGTAGTGCAGGAATCAGTTTCTGTTTGGCTCTTTCCCTCCGCGGCTTCTCTTGGTGCAAAGGTTCTAACAGGGCACTGCGGCATGTCTGGAGGCAAGTGGCAGAGTTTGTATGCCCTCAGCCGGGCATATGCGAAGTCAAAGGGCAGGTAACAGCCTAAGAGGTGGAAACGAGTCCCATCTCCAGATCCTGGAAGCGCTGGGCTGGGGAACTGATTTGAGGGGAGGACAGTAACAAGGAAAACGGGGCTATGAAGAAGTCGTTCTCTTGATTCTTTTCCAAAGCAAGCCTTTCTGTGACCTCCCCAGAGGAAGGGTGATCTGAAGAAAGACGCATCTCCGCGGGCACGAGTTCTTTCCGGGTTTCTCAGAGCATGCACACAATACCTTTACAAGCTAAACCACAGCCACAGCTTCACCCTCCGGTGCCTCGGTTTCCCTTCAGTGCGCGTGACCCGAGAGTAACTTTTTCTTGATAATGTTCTGAAAGTAATCGAAAGAAAATGACGCTAGAGCCTGGGCCGCCGGGAAAGAAAAGGGAGAGACGAGACGGGCAAAAAGCGGCGCTCTGGGGGACCAGCCCAAACGCCGCCCCCCCCCAGCGCTCACCCTCTAGATGGAGCAGGTTGCCAGGTGGCCTAGTAGCTTGTCCACGTCCGGGACACACCAGGTCCAGAGCCTCCCCAGCCCCCCAGCCCTCCCCGTAGGCTAATTGACCGGGCTTTCTTTTTTTTTTTTTTTCCTTCCATTCTGTATCTTCATGACCTCCGTTGGTCAGACTTTCCAGCTGAGCTTCGCTAACGTAAAGAAACCAGCTCATCTGAACACCAGACGCCAGGGGGGCCACAGGAGATCAGGCACAATGCCTGCTTCCAGACGTTCTGCAGCTCTCACTCCTCGAACACTGCTGAGACACTCCAGTGAGCCGCATTTCCGCACAGGGTGTGGTGGGTTGGTGTAGGGTCACCCCCAAGGTTCCGCACCACCCGCTGGGGCGCAAACCAATTCTCTGACACCTCCAGCAAGCGGCCCTAGCGACCGTGGCACGCCCGCCTCTCTCGTTATTTTTAGCTCTGCGGCTGCACCCTCCTACCTGCAAGAGCTCGCCCCGCTCTCAGACTCGTTTTGCAGGATTTGTGCCCCAGGAGGCTAACCTGACCCACACTTGAATAAACAGCAAGCTGCGGGGCCGATCCCACTGAGCCACCCGCCCTGAACCTGTGTCCACCGCAGAGGAGAGGCTACCTGCACACCTACCTTGAAGTCTGCCGCCACTTGGAAACCGAAACGGGTCTCCCAGAGTCATAAATAAATAAAGTGGAAGAAAGAAAGGCCTAAGGTGAGACTCCTCCCGGACTAGACCGAGCTGCTCCTGGGCGGATTTTGCACCCAGCAGGGGACGATCTCCTCCGAGGTTGGGCTACAGGGTACAAGAGCCAGAATGAGTTACCAGCTCTCCAGTGCTGATTCCGTCTTGTGACAGGTTGACCAGGAGCATGGTTTTTCCCACCAGTCAAGAAAACAAAAAGTGCTGCTCCTTCTGCTCCTGTGAGTTTCCATTCACCAAGGCCAGCAGCAGCCCCTGTCTCGAGGCCTCCTGGAAAGCGGGAATTGTAAGGCCTGGAGGAAGGTGATGGAGGGGCCTGACAGGAAGAAGAGATGAGGAGGAGAGAGGTTGAGAGGCCTCTTCAGACAGCCCCTGGCCTGTCCTTAGCGAGCTGAGCCTTCCTTCGAACTGGTTAATGAAGCCTCCCTAACAAGGAAGCTCCCTCACTCCGCATGAATGAAGCACGGTCTGGGGGGCCTGGGGTATGAAGCCAGCGCCCCAAAACTCTGATGTCAGTCTGAAACCCGGAGTTTTGCACTTTCTCCCTTCCTGCCGGGGAGGGCATCAGGAGAGTGGAAAGTGAGCAGCGCGCTTGCTCGCTTCAATGCACCACAGCGAGCCTCGCTGGCCTTCCTGCTCTGTTCTCCCTCTCTCACAGCTCTATAGAGACCAGTTGGACAGTCTCTGCCGGCTCCAGCTTTAGAGTTAGGAGGTGGTGACATGCCCCATGGCTGAAGGACTAGCCTTTTTTATCTTATTTTACTTAGATTTTGTTGTCATTTTGTTTCTAAGACAGGGTCTCTCTACAAAAGCCTGACTGTCTTCAACTTACTATGTAAACCAGGCTAGCCTTGAACTCACAGAGCACTACCTACCTCTCTCCTCAGATAAAAGAGATGCACCACTACACCTCGGTCCTGAAAGATTAGTTTTAAGGAGAAGTAATAATGGATGTATGTTGGCTTTCTTTGTTACATTTTAATTAAATGCCAATCTCTTTACCTTAGAGATTCTTAAGTTTGGTTGGGGGTATGTTCAGTTGAGAGACTGACTCCCAGAGTGATTTTGAGACCATCCTGTCCCTCCACAAAACAATAATAATTTATTAATAATTACTATACCTTTAGTATTATTCTGCTGTGTTGTTTCATTAATAATTCAGATGGATTTTAGGGAGAATCTGTAACAACATTTACAATGATACATACAATTTTTATTGCAGGTATGTATAAAGATGCATAAAATCCTTTCACAAGTGAACGGAGAACTAGGAAATGCAAGGTCAGAAAAAAAAAATAGAAACCACCACCACTCAATCTACTCCAGAATACACCCCGAGTGCTCTTTCCTCTTGGGCTCTGTCTCTGGGTTGCACACAGAACTTTGATTCATGGGACACAGCTTTCACACTCAGCCATGAGGAAACATGAGTCAGCATAGCAGGAGAAAGGACCCCAGCATCACTCAGCTCAAGCCCCACATTAGCTGGGTCGCCCTCTAATCCACCTGTACTGCTAGCAAAGGGATCCGATGCTAGAGTGTATGTGTAGCCAATTTACAGATCACAAAATATATGGCTACTGGCACCTATGAAAAGAAATGCTGATGGGTTTCCACTAGCTAGTTATAATTAAATGAACAATTATGGAAATAATTATAATTACATGAGTATTTGCATCTTTTCTCCAACCATATACTTACAAAGAAAAATTGACATACTTTGGATCCCTGACAATTACCAGGCATTTTTGTGTTTTCATTATCTCACTTAATCCCTGAAATAATGTTCGGCTTTGTATTTAATGCTATAGTTACCACCACCACCCCAACCATCACTCCCAACACTCACCTTTTTAATTTTTGAGGAAAGAAACCCAGAGAGACTCAAATGTCTAAGGCCACCCAGCTAACGAACATCAGATTTTTATTTCGGATAAAGTTCCTTCTTTGAAGAGAGGATATTAGGAAAGGAGGGAATTATGTTCAGATTTGGGTAGATTTAAGTCTGTGCATTTTGCACAAAGTATGGGAGTTTAGAATAGAGCACCTGCCTTGTGACACGCAATATTCTCATTATTTTTTGATAGGCAGCTCTCTTTAACCCACTCTCTTTTCATTTTCTCTGTGGTTCAGGTCAGTAGCACCTTAACTCAAATTTATACACGTAGTTCCTTATTTGGTAGCAACTAGTTTATGTAGCTAACATCTAACTACACTGGTGAGGTCCTTCAGAAACTGACATCTGGACCCATGTCCCCCACTCCTGCAACCCCTTCCAGAAACCTTTTGTGGCAGTGGCCACCATCTCCAGAAGCTACTGGATGCTCAGGCTGAGAGCTCTCCGCATAGCAAGCCATCCCATCCACAGTGACTACGAATGATCCCGTTTGGTCTCAACCCTCCTAATTCTTGACCCTTTAACAATACAGCTCCTCATGTCGTGCTGACCCCAACTATAAAACTATTTCTGTAGCTACTTTATAACTGTAATTTTGCCACTGTTGTCAATGGTAACATAAATGTTTTTTGGAGATCGAGGTTTGGTGGCAGGGTTGCGGCCCACAGGTTGAGAACCACTGGTCTACAGGATCAAGTTGCTGAAGGAAAGAAAGTAACTCGGGTTCCTCTTGCTGTGCTCTGAATCCGGGGCGTGCCGAAGCAGCCAGTGAAGCTCTGTCTACTTTCTTCTAAGTCTCTCCTGTGACTTCAGTTTTGGAACGGGGACGGTTCTCCAGGTTTGTCCCCTTAGTATAAATACAGAATAGCAAGCCTGGAATAACAGCTTGTGGAAGCTCCAGAAAGCAAGCCGACCTTTGCTCTTGACATTTAATTATGTTGTAATTATGTCTAGAGAATGAGTAGCACAGAGAATGAGCTTCTGGAGGACAAGGTAAGGAGCCAAACAAACAGCAACCACAGCAAGCGTGGAACACAGTGCCGTCTTTCCTCAAAACCAGGAGCAATGTGCTTCTCCATCAGTTTCTGGGACTTCTACGTGGACGGACTGATGGGACGAGTTTTTAAAGGATGCTTATCGGTATGTCTGAGGTTTAGGAAAAACAGACTTGAACCGGGTGCCTTAGGTTTGGAGTTCAGCTGAAACCAAGTCGCATCAACAATGTGTCTTTGTGCTGCTGTGCAAGAATGCCATAGACTGGGTAAGTGACAAACCACAAGTCCATTGGACTCTCAGTTCTGGAAACTGGTGAATCCAAGATGGATGGACCATATCTGGTGAGGTCCTTCCACCACACCGTAGCATTGAAGAAGGCCTCATGTAGAGGTTGCTTGAGAGAGGGAAGGAGACTACCCTTATTGTTTGAGGACACCACTACCCCCTCCATGATGGCATCCACTCACTCCAAGCACATAGGCCTTGTGACCTCATCACCTCCCAACACTGCCCCACTAGGAATCACACTGCCCATGCATGACCTTCGGGGCACATTCCAGCTATAGTTCTGCTAGATGACTGGGCACGTCTGTAGTTTCGGAGACTTCCATTTCTTTCTGGGTTCTATGAGCTCTATGAGTCGAGAACTTCAATTGTTGGTAAACACTTTCAAGAAAAGACCAAGCACTGAATGTTTAGGCCATTGGTTCTCAGCCTTCCTAATGCTGACTCCCTTTAATACAGGTCCCCATGTTACGTATGGTGACCCTAAACCATAACATTATTTTCCCTGCTACTTCACAGCTGTAATTTTGCTGCAGTTATGAACCATAGTGTAAACATCTGTGTTTCCTGATGATCTCAGGTGACCTCTGCAAAAGAGTCATCGGACAGAGAAGGGGTGGTGACCCACAGGTTGAGACCTGCTGGGTTAGGCTCTAAGAGGCACAAACCATCCTCTACATTACTTCCTCCTCCTCTCTCCCTCCTCTTTTCCTTCTTCTACAACTGATTCCACATAGACAGCCCATTTGTATTAGTTTTCTAAGGTTATCCTAGCAAACTGCCACAAATGGATGACTTAAACAACAAAATATATTCTGTCTGTTTGGAAGCTACGAGTCTGAGAACTAGGTAGGTGTCCACAGTGGTGACTATGAAAATATGCCTTGCTACTGGTTTATTGGCCATCTTTGGTACAACATTTTTAATATATCATCCAAGTTCATATGTTGAGCCAAGACAGTCTCATTGTGTACCCCAGGCAGGACTCAAACTCACTGCAGTCTTCATGACTCGGCTTCCCAAATGCTGGGATTGCAAGTGTGAACCACAGATCCTGACTTCCCCCATGTTCTTAAATGCAGCTTTGGCACTCTTCCTCTCCAGAGACAGGGGTCTGTGTTCTTCTGCCTGGAACTGGGTACATCAGTTTTCCATAGCTACTCTAACAAATGACCAACATGTCTTGAAATGATACAGATCTCTTACAGGTTTGAAGGTCAACATTCCAAAATAGGTCTTCATAGGACAAAATGAGGGTATTGACAGAACTATGTTCCTTGTAGAATCTCCAAGGAGTGCCTGTTTCCTTGCCTTTCACAGCCCTGAGAGACTGTCTGCATTCCTCTGTTCATGGCCAGCATTACCCTAGCCTATTTTACCATCTCCTTTTCTGATTCTGACACATTTGGATACTTGATGCAAGGATTGTTGGGATTATATTGTGTCCAACTAGATAATCTAGGATAATCTCTTTATGTCTTGGGCCTAAACTCAATCACATGTATGGAATCCCTTCCCCCAGATGAGGTAACATAGTCACAGGTTTGGGGATCAATATGTGGACTTTGTAGGGGACCATTTGTTCTGCCTGACATTCAGAGACAACACCTAACTACAAAAGAGATGATGGTGTATAATACCCAAGGCTATGTCATGAATGTGCTTGCTTCTAACTGGTTATCTTAGCTCACTTGCTTTTAGAGCCCAGTGGCCTCTTCATGCTATCAGGAGTCCCAAGACAGCCCAAGAACAAAGTCTCCCTTGAGAGGCCATGTGTCCATAAGATTTGGTCAGCAGCCAAGTTACCTCAGCAGATAAGACCACTCATTTGAGTCAACGTAGCTGTCACATGCACCCAGGGCCTTCAAGTCTGGGAGGCCTTGGCATTGCAAAAGAAATAGAAGTGCTTTTACTGTGCTGTGTTCAAAGCCTGGGAAACAAATAAGACATAATAGACTAACCCATAAATGTCCCCAAAGACCTGCATTAAAGGCATGGCCTGAAGCTGGTGGCTCTATTGGAAGTTGGTGGGATTTTTTAGGGGTCAGGACCTGGTGGGAGGAAGTCAGACCGTTGAGGATGTCCTCTTTGGGGGACTCATAGGGATGGCTCTTTGCATTCTTTTCTGTTTGCTTCACAGTGCAACGAAGTGAGCTGCTTTGTCCCACCACAAGGTCCCTTCCATAGTGCTCTGTGTTGCCACAGGCACCAACACAACAGACCCAAGCAACCAATGGTCTGAAACCACTGAACCTATGTAGCAAAATACGTCTTTAAAGTTGACTTCAAATGGTGTTTTGTCACAGTGACAGAACACTAGCACAGTCTAAGACACCGGAGACCTACCATTTCTCCCCGCGAGCATCTCCACCGTTCAGTCTCATTTATCGTGGCCAGCACAGTTTCGCCTAAGTTGGCAGCCTTCGCTTACCACAGTGAGTCATGCAGGGAGTGATGGTGACTCTTGGCTGTCAGTTTGACTGATCTGGAATCTACTAAGAGATATGCCACTGGGTACATCTGTAAAGGACTTTCTTGGCTGGGTTACATGAAATGGAAGACTTACCTTAAATGTGGGTAACATCTTTAAGGACAGCAGAAGAGACTTGCTGTTTGCTTGTCTTCCCAGTGCCTTCTTATGTTTCTGGTCAAGTTCATTCACCCTGTTTGTATTTTGCTGTCTAGTTTATCTACCCTGTTGTTGTTGCTACCACCACAACTACTGCTTCCATTCTTGGTTGTATCAGAACCGGGGTTCTTTAGGCTCTCCAGGAACCCTTCAAGCCTTCAGTGCCAGCCACATCCAGCCTCATAAGCTGCGCAGGAACTGGGTTCTCAGCCTCTCCAGCCACTTTTTGATTGGCCACTATATCATGTAGGACATCGTAATGAATCCTTCCTTTGTAAAGTACTCATTCTGTCGGTTCTGTTCCTCTAGAGAGACCTGGCTAGTACTAGGGGAAGACGGAATAAACGCCATCATCCTATGCTATGCTCCTCCCTGATGTGCTAGCGTCAGGTACAAAGCTTCCTTCATAGAAGAGACCATTTTTCTCCCACTGTCCGGGGAATTTCAAGGTATTGGCATTCTCATATGGACTTGAGAGATAGTCATACCTAAGAATTTGGTACCATAAGCACCTTTGGTTTCATTTCTGGGATGGGTTGCCGTGGCCAAGGACTAGAAAGTTTCCTTCTGCATAATTATTAACAACGACTCTCCTGCCGTACTTGAAAGACTAAAATGGAAGCCAGAGGAGATTTCCATTTCACCGGTGTCCGTGATTCTCAACAATCAATTCCCACAGATTTGATTTCCAGGAATGGCTGTTGTAAGTTACCAGAGGATGAATAAGGTTTCTACCTTTTCTTCCAGTTTTACGGGCAGAAGTGCAATGTATTAGCTCTATTGTGAGCTAGAAAAGTTATATAAAGCAACAGTCATGAAAAGTTTAATTGAGAAGAAATAAAAAAATTTAATTTTGTAGGTTGTAGATGATACATTTATAAAAATAAATATATCAGTGTTCTGATTCCTGAGTTTTATTAAATATTATTTTTCCAGATTATGATGCTTTTTCTTTTTCTTTTTTTAGAAAGCACACGAAAGACAAAAAAAAAAAGCACTCTTGTAAACCCTTCACCTAGAGATAACTACTGCTTGCAAGCAAAAATGTTCTTGGTCAGCTCATTTGCAAACATACACATTCAAATTTTAAATGGGGGCTGGAGAGATGACTCAGTGGTTAAGGACATTTGTTGTCATTGCAGAGGACCCAGGTTTGGTTTCCAACACCCACATGGCAGCTCACAATAGTCCATAACTCTGGTTCTAGGGTATTCGGTACCCTCTTGACCCCAAGGGTAAAAGACATACACATGGTGGGAGACATACATGCATGCACAGACATACATATATACACATACATGCATGCACAGACACTCATACATATAAAATAAATAAATCTAAAACACTTTTAACTAGAACAATCCAGCACTAGATTTCCAGCATAACCTTTTTATGATTTATTTACTCTTTTAAATTTCATTCTATATTCCACACACAGTTCACCCTCCCAGCCCTCTTCCAACCCCAATTACCTGTCCCCCACCCCCAGTCCACTCCTCCTCGCTCTCAGGACTCTCATGAGGAGTCAACAAAGTCTGACACAATAGATTGGGGCAGGGCTAAGCCCCGCTCACAGGCATTAAAGTTGAGCACGGCATCCCACTGTAAGGAGTCGGCTCCAACAAGCTAGCTCATGGACCAGGTTTGTATCATCCAGCCTGATTTTTTAAAAACTAGCTTTTTAAAGCCGGGCAGACTTAAGGCACACACCTTTAGGCTCAGGACTTGGGAGGCAGAGGCAGGTGGATCTCTTGAGTGTCAGGCCAGCCTGGTTGACAGAGAGAGTTCCAGGTCAGCCAGGGCTACACAGAGAAAACAAGCAAACAAACAAAATCATTGTCATCTCTTAATATATACGCAGGAAGAGGACGTCAGGTGACTTTAAACAGATAACCATCAATACAATATCAAGTGGTGGCAGAATCGTAGTTTTTCTTCTGTTATTTAAGTGGACAGAATTACAAAAAGCTTGCAAGCCATCTCCAACCGAGTTTGGCTTGCATACTTACCGCCAAATCTAATTTAATGGAACAAACAGCTTCCCATCCTCAGAAAGTTGGATTTGGCTGTGCAACGGCTTCAAGGGGCCAGCAGTGTTTCCATTGTCTGCTGCTTCATAGTAAGTAATCCTTCAGAGACTGGTTAAAATAATGATAAAATAAAATGACCACTTCTCATGGGTCTGCAGATTGACTGGGCACAGCTGGGCTGTTGTGGTCAGATGGTGACGGGCGTGGCAGACACCTGAATGCTCACCTGGACTGAGTGTCCTTCTTCATGTGTTTGGAAACCTTGGATACTGGATTACCAGAAGTGGTCAGGTGTCTCTTTTTTCAGCTTTGGTAGCTTGGAATTCCCCACAGCTGGTAGCAGCAAGCTGTTGGTACAAGAGCTGGCATAGAAAAAGAGATTTTTTTATTTTTTAGTGTAGCCCTGGCTGTCCTGGAACTCTGCTCTGTAGACCAGGCTGGCCTTGAACTCCTCTGTCTGAGATTAAAGGTGTGGACCACCTCACCTGGCTGACAAAGACAACTTTCTAAGGAGGCAGGGTAGAGGTTACTGGACTTCCTCTGATCTCGCCTGTGTTTCATGGATTGTTCAGAGACCATTTAGATTAGGGAAGAAGGACAAGGGTGTAAGTACCTGGGAGACTGCATTAGGTAACCCCTTCAAAGATGGTCCCACAATGGGGAATGCACCCTAGACAAAATGAATTTGAACTATCAGTGGCCACCCACAGAGCGTTACTAAAGGCTCTTTTAAAAACTGGTTCTGAAGTTACAATCCTGTTAAGAATGTGATCCTAATTAGTCTTAATAATAAAAACCCGGAGTCAGATATTAGGGGGCGAAACCTGAAAGAAATGAAAAGCAGAGCAGCCAGCTATTAGAGCTCTTACTTCGGGCTGGAGAGATGGCTCAGCCGTTAAAGGCTAGGCTCACAACCAAAAATATAGAGCTCGTACTTCTATGAAATCTCAGACTGAAAAGGCTGAGATCCTGTCTCCGCCCAGCCTTATCACTTCCTGTCTCTGCCTAGCCTTATCACTTCCTGTCTCCTGTCTGTACAGACCTTCAGAGCTCTATGGCTAATTAGTGGCTAGCTCTGCCTCTGGCCTCCGGGCTGCTTTATTTTTCAGGACACAAACAAAATGTCACCACATTGTTAAGATGGGAGTGGGACAAAATTCTGGGAGAGCCATCGTACTCTCTCTGGTGGGCGGGGTTGAGAAACCTAGGAGTTCTTTTTCCTCTTTGGGAATGAGAAAGCAGTATTTTTCCCTGGTCTCCAGGATGGCCGCAATACATCTGTTTATCCACTAGGTCTATTCAATGCCAAGTGTATGCTGGCCTATGCTATGACTGTCCTGTCAGAGGGGCGAGTAGCAGCCTGACTAAGAGCTAGTCAGTGTTTGTTCTGGACCTGTTGCTAGGCAGGACTCCGTCACTGCATTTAAGTGTGTTGTTTTCACGAACTCTCTAAAGCAACTGTTGTCTCTGTTTTACAGAGGAAGGAACAAGCGTAGAGAACAAATAGCTTCTACCAGCATATAGACAAATGGTAGCCCTGGGACCCAGCCGCTCACAGCCTAACTGAGCCAGCCCGTCTTCTTACTGGCCAAATGCTCTACTTTGAGCAAAGCACTTGACTTCTCCAGGTTGCAGTTTCCTTACCTGCAAATAAGAGCTCATACCCTTCCTTAACAGGTCTTGCATTGTTAACGCTCTGAGACTTGCTTCTCTCTTTCTTTTTCTAATGTCGTAGATGAGCATAGTGTGTTTTCAAGAGAAGCAGGCAATGCATAGAAAGCGCAGTGTCTGGCACTTGGAGCTGTTGGCTCATGCTATGAACTGGCGTTGGTAGCTCTGTGTTTTATGTTGTAACACAATTTTGAGGCTCTTAAGCCTTGAATCCCCTGCTGAACTCGCTGTTGTTCCGTCTGATTTCCAGTGTTCTTTCTTTCCCACCCGAGGAACAGCTGCATATTTGAGCAGAGAGACATAAAAAGCGTGGCAGATAGTCACGCCGCCACCACAGATGTCCCTGCCTTGGCTGAGGACAGAAGACAGCAGCCAATGTTCACAGCGGCCTGCAGATGTTTCCCTTTAACATGGATCAGAGGGTCCATTATGGACAGCGTGGGTTCTGCAGACTTTTTGTGTTCCAAATGGAATATTGCAGAATATGCCTGGCTCCATCCAGCATTCACTGAATACCTACTCTGTGTGGAGTTGCTTTCTAAACACAAAGATGAATGGGTCATATCCCGGGTCCTCTCTGACACGGAGTACACACCAGGAGACAATGCACACAGTTAGCCATGGCAGACTGAAGAGTTCTGTGTGTGGCACAAACAGTGGTCGATCTCAGGAGATGCTTCTGTCGGAGAGCCTTGGAGGAAGACGAAGCCTGCGTTGGGTATGCAGGGTCTTCTTGGGGCTGTAAACAATGAAGGGACTTTAACCATCAGAGACAGAGCCAGGCTCGGTGGAGGGGATGATGAGGTGTGGGCGGATGTGGAGTTGGGTGCGTGGCTCTCCCACAGCTTCTCCTCCCCCAGTCACTGCCCACCTGTGACACCTTACACTGAGGCATTGGTAATAGGCCACTGGGTGAGGGCTCTGGGAAGGCAGGCTCCGGCACGCGTACTTACCTCCACCCCCTTTACCCGTTGATGTCTTCCTCTTCCGAGAATGTGGATTGGATTCTTAGAAGTGAATCTCAAGGTTGTGAGGTGATAAGAAGAATAAAGCCACAGAAACACAGAAGCAGCTCAGGCCCTTTCTGAGTAGCAGCCCCAGCCCAGGGCATCAGACCTCTTAACTGTTTATGAGGTAAGAAACATAGAGCTCTGCTTATACCCTATGCGTAGGATATGCAGTTACTAACAGCCCAAAGCATTTCTAATTGGTAGAATTAGGAGCAATGGTAACCCCTGGGATACAGGGCATGGGGGATGGGTGCCATAGCATGAGGGGCCTTTTCCTAGCCTGCCATGATGGGTCACACCTATAATCCTAGCACTGGTGTGGGGGGGAGGCACACCAAGATGGGAGGACTGGGTGAAATAAGGACGTAGCTTCTCCTAGGCCGTGTTTGAGGACAAGGGTTTTGTTGTAGAGATGAGGGCGAGAACAGCCGGAGGCAGCTGGGAGGATCCAGACTGAACTGGACCAGCAGAACATACCTGGCCATTGAACGAAGAGGAGGCATGACTACTCCTAAAGCATGGAGAAGATTTTTATTGTAGATTCAAGGGAGGAAGTAGGCAGAGGGAAGAGTCCAGGCTGAACACGGCCCACAGACTAAACCAGACCATGAAAGGAGAGACGGGCAGGGTGAGCAACGGGGCCACCAACCAAGACGGGAAGCTTGGGCCAAGAGGGCAGCATTGCCAAAATGTCTGAGTTCTATGGGGGTCAAGTTGGGGGTGGGGAAGCAGAGGCCCAGCCTGGGGAGGGAGAGGGTTAGGGTAGGGGGCGGGATAAAAAGTGCTGGGAGGAGCCACGGGTACTGAGCGATGCTAGTCCTAGGTTTCTTTGGGACCTGAGAAGGATCACCTTGAGTTCCAAGCCAGCTGAAGTTAGAATGAGGCCTTAACTCAAAAAATGAAACACACACTCCAGGTGTAGTGGCGCTCGCTTTTAGTCCTAGCACTTGGCAGGCAGAGGCAGGCTGATCTCGGTGAGTTGGAGGCCAGCCTGGTCTACAGAGTGAGTTCCAGGACAGCCAGGGCTACATAGTAAGACCCTGTCTTGAAAAAGAAAAGAGACAGAGAGAGAGAGAGAGAGAGAGAGAAGAAAGAAAAACAAAACAAGCAAGAATGACTTTTTTCTGTAGTAGGCTGCTAGCCGTATAGCTCAGTGGTGAGTACCTGCTGCATGCATGAGGCCTCGGTCTCCGTTCCCGGTGCCGCCAGAGAATGAAGTCAAAA